ATCGAGAGATAGATAGATAGATAGATAGAGAGAGAGAGAGAGAGAGAGAGAGAGAGAGAGAGAGAGAGAGAGAGAGAGAGAGAGTCACATACATACTGTATAACATTCTCTCTCTATCTCTCTTTCTCTCAATTTATCTCGCTCTCAATCTCGCTCTCTCTCTCTCTCTCTCAATATCTCTCTCTCTTTTGATCTCTCCTTCTCAATCTCTCTCTCTCCCTCTCGACATTTATCTCTCTCTCTCTCGATCTCTCAATCCTTCCCTCTCGATCTCTATCTCTTAATCTCTCTATCGCTCTCTCCCTCTCGATATCTCTCTCTCTCGATCTATCTCTCCATCTCCTTCTCGATCCCTCTCTCGATCTCCCTCTCTCTCTATCTCTCCTTCTCGATCTCCCCCTCTTGATCGCTCCCTCTTGATATCTCTCTCTCTCCCTCACGATATCTTTCTCTCTCTCTCAATTGCTCTCTCTCTCTCTCTATTTCTCTCTCCCTCTCGATCTCTCTCCCTATCGCTCTCTCTCTATCTCTCCCACTCGATCTCTCTCTCCCTTTCGATTTCTTTCTCTGGATCTCCCTCTCTCGATCACTTCCTCTCGATCTCTCCCTTCTCGATATAGATAGATATATAGATATACTGTTACAAACACACATACTTTTTACTATGAGAAAAAAAAAATACATATATGATGTAGTCTGTTTTGCCTTAACACAACCGTTTTAGTTTTTCTGGGTCCCCCCGTAATATAGTTTTAAAGGAGAACTATGAGGTGAGCGCTTTTCACTCACCTCATAGTTCTATCCGACCTGTGACAATGAGACTGTCGCAGGTCGGCTCAGTAGATCGGGAGGTGAGTGAACACATACCGGCGTTCGCTCACCTCTCGATCCTGTCACGGCTCTCTGCCGTGACAGGGGAGTGGCTGGATTCCCCCCTCCCCAATCCGCCAGCGCTGACTGGCGGAACAGACAGGGGAGGGGGCGGGTACAGCTGGCTCTGCCTCTAGATAGACAGAGCCAGCTGTCAGTCACGCAGCTGGGCAGATCCCGGCTGACCAAAGAGTGGTAAACCTTAGAGACGGCCAATGGATCTGGATGAAATGCCAGTTCGCAGCCTTGGACAGCTAACCGTGCCACTCAAAACGGTATGGCCAAACTGAGAGGCGGTGACCTCAGGTGCTGCGAGTCTATGGTTAGGTACCTGCAATCACCTCGGATATCTCTTGGTGAGTTTGGTCCTCCCTTTCCCGGGTTCCCTCACAGAGGGTACGACAAGCACGCAAAGCGGACATACAGGCGGACAGGGACTCCTCCAGCTTCAATACCGCGGAGGCCAGTTTCCCCTCAGAAAGCAAAGCCATGGCCTCGGAGAAGAGCGTCTAAGAAGAAAGAGCAAAGCCATATATATAACCATATAAGCCATAGGACAACAGGAAATTCTGGGTGACTTACACTTACACGGTAGCTTTGACAGATAGGAATGTTTCATATAGCAGTTACTCGAAGGCCATTGCAGAATATGCACATCTTTAAAGGAGAACTATGGGGTCAGGGCTTTTCACCATAGTTCTCCTAAGGCTAACGGGAGGACACAAACTAGCGGCCTCCCGTCACCCAAAGCTCAGTATACCACATGATGTCAGGCAGACAGGGGCAACCAAAATTAAGATAGGGGCTACTGGCCCCGCACTGAAAATAGTCTCGACTGTGATATTTACATATAAATGGGTGAAGCTATTTACATATGAATAAACCACGACTCATTCTCCTAAAAACATTTCCATGGGTCGCTAGAGTGTTCGGGTTTCGCTGGAAGAAAAGGTGGCAACCCTACCTCATACCCTACCGCTGGTAGCTGGGGTGGGTCGAAAGCTGGAGGTGAATGCGCTCACTGTGGGCGGGCAGAAGGAATGGACCCAAAGATCATAGCTAAACCTGGCTCTTTTCCATGCAGGATCAGCAGCAGAGAAATGCTTCCTCTACACTGAATGGCGGGAACGGAGTTCTCTGTAGGGATGCACCGATACTGGGTTTTTTTTGGTTTCGAGTACCAATATTTTTTTTCGGTACTCGCAGATACCGAATACCAATACCGGAGGCCCCATTAAGGAAGCCGGGCGGCGTGTAAAGACTTGCCACCCGGCTTCCCGATCAGCAGGGAAGCCGTCTCCATGCTCCCTCGTCACCAGGTGACGAGGAAGCATGGAGCCAGCTTTCTGTCCAATCAGGAAGCTGGGCACCATGCAATGACACGTTGCCCGGCTTCCTGATTGGTTGAGAAGCCGGCCAATCAAGAAGCCGGGCAACGCGTCATCACACGGCACCCGGCTTCCTGATTGGCTGGGAAGCTTGCTCCATGCTCCACCGTCACCTGGTGAAGAGGGAGCATGAAGCCAGCTTTCTGGGCAATCAGAAAGCCGGGGGGGGGTGTGTGTGTGTGTGTGTAATGACGCGCTGCCCGGCTTCCTGATTGGCCGGCTCCATGCTCCCTCGTCACAAGTGACGAGGGAGCATGGATATGGCTTTCTATTACCGGAAGCTCAGGTATCGGGCTAGGCATCGGAGCATTTGGGTGAGTATAAGTACTCGCCGAAATACTCGGCATCGGCACCAATACGGATACTAGTATCCCTAGTTTTCTTGTTTGCCGGTATCCAATCCTCCCGCAGGTGGCTGTATAACCTGAAGGTTTAAGGCTTCCTGTGTCCCTTAATGGGCGAGAATGAAAAGCAACCTCACTTACAACGGCTGTAGATGGCACGCAGGCCTGGAACGCATGAGGCATAGGAAGCCATTAGTTGTTTTAATTCCTCATTATCTACCAAAAAGAAGACATCAATTTTGGGCAGACTGACCCTTCATGACGGACGCAGTGTGCATGCGTTGCCTAAGGTACAATGGGGTATTGTGTGACATATTACCCGGTAAGGAGGCTCCTCCAAGTCCCGGAGGCTCTGCTGTTGAACCCCTTTCATGCGTTGGTAACGTTGGACGTCGTCCTGGATCTGCTCGTGGTGAGGATTCCTGGTGTAGAAGGTGAAGGCGGCAGCGGCGGCTTCATCCAACTCCTCCAGCTGGGGAAAGGAAACTGTCAGCCGTCAGTATATCTCACAACAACGTTCACGCAGAGCAGCCCGAACGCAGGGCGGTGAGAAAGGATAAAGACACAGCAACGCAGTATTGTGTTACCGCTGGGATGTGCGTTGGGGTGCAATTCAGAACAATGCAGCAGTGTAGATAGCATGTGCTGCGTCACGCAATAACACATGCTAAGCGCACGGATGCCGTTCCTTCAGTGCACATACTATGACGGGAACGGGCCTTTAAAAAATAAAGCAAACACTGCAACGCATGCAATGAACTATTTATACATTGTACACCAATGCACATTTATTATGCGCACAATAACGTGTGTCTGTTGCGCCCATTTACACCTGTGCATTTACTGTGCGCTACAACGCACGATCATAGCATACTATAAAGTCTCTGTTCACATGTTGTTCATGCCTACGTCCTGTGTTTTCATGAGTTATTCATGGGCTCCCATTGAAGTGCATTGTGTTACAAGGCAGTGTGTGTTAGAGGGTAGTGTGTTGCGTTAGAGGACAGTGCGTTGCGCTAGAGGGCAGTGTGTTGCGTTAAGAGGACAGTGTGTTGCATTAGAGGGCAGTGCGCTGCGTTAGAGGACAGTGCGTTGCGCTAGAGGACAGTGTGTAGCGTTAGAGGACAGTACGTTGAGTTAGAGGGCAGTGCGCTGTTAGAGGACAGTGCGTTGTGTTAGAGTACAGTGCGTTGCGTTAGAGGACAGTGCTTTGCATTAGAGGACAGTGCGTTGCATTAGAGGACAGTGCGTTGCATTAGACAGTGCGTTGCATTAGAGCACAGTGCGTGGTGTTAGAGGACAGTGCGTTGCATTAGAGGACAGTGCGTGGTGTTAGAGGACAGTGCGTTGCATTAGAGGACAGTGCATGGTGTTAGAGGACAGTGCGTTGCATTAGAGGACAGTGCATGGTGTTAGAGGACAGTGCGTTGCAGTAGAGGACAGTGC